CAAGCAGATCACATCAGTAAAGACAAATGCTTAGAAAGCAGGGAGGTGATTGGCATGAAAACACTCTACAAATATAGAAAATAAGGGTGCTTGGCCATGCAAGGAGGGTGCCCAAGAAAGTTCAAGTCCATAAAAGGTTGTCTTGTGGAAGGATATAGTCTTCACAGATGGGGTGAAGGATAGGAAGTGATTTGGAGACAGAATTTAGCTCAATAGAGGAGGAAATTTCACGAGGAATAGGCTGCCTTGAGGGAGCGAGTTTCTGGAGGCTGGAGGGACAAATGGAAACCAGAAAAAAGACCAGAATCTGAGATTCCTGTTTCCTAAGTCCGTGGCGCATCATTCTACTCAGACACTTGCTTGGGCTACAACACGAATGAAAACCCTTGCCCGGGAGGTTGCCACCGTCAGCCAGGGAGATGTGATTCGGGGTATTGTGAAGAGCTGTTATCTCGACCGTAGTCACTCTAACGGCGGATGAGCGAAAGGAGCCCAAGAAGCTATTCTGCCAGCCAAGTCTGGAATGGCTTCTCAGAGATAATACTTGAACTGGGCCTTCAGACATTCAGGCCTTGAGTTGCCTTTGGGGATAGTATGGGCGGGAGGGATACAGTCACTTCCCATCGGTGAGGGCCCATCTGCCCCAACCTCAGTGCAGGAGAATGGGGGTGGTCCCTGGGTTGGGAAGCACATGTTTCTGCTACAGGACCCCTCAACCTGAGATGATCCTGCCCGTGGGACAGTGTATGGCCAGGTGAGGGGGGCTCAGCAAATGGAGCCAGCCTGAGCTCTGTCCTCTAAGAGCCCGTGAACAGAAGATCAGATATGAATAGAGACACAAGTGGGGGTGGCATGTGAAGTGCTGGGTGAGGGACGAAGCGCAGAGGGACAGGAGCGGCAGCCTCACCTGGCCTGCGGGAGCCACTTTCCAATTTGCAGAGTGTTTTCCCATTATCATGTCATCTGATTGTCACGAAAGGCATGTACAGTGAGCAGGGTCGGGGTTACCCTTGCCCTCTCCCCTGTACCTGATGGTGAAACCGAGGCTGCAAAACCCCTTGGGGGCGGAGACGGGCCTGGGCCCTGGGTCACTGGATCCCTTGCCCCACCAAGGGCCGTTCCAGCTCCTACGGAGGGAGAAGCAGACAGAAAGCAAGGGGAGCAAGCACATCTCACACCAGGTGTCAGTTTGCACATAATCAAAGCCCGCAGTTTGTTTTTTTAAACAAAATATTCTGGTAATCGATCCATTTATTGACTGGAGCCATTGACCACTGTGCCGTAACGATCTCGGGGAGGACATTTAGAGCTGAGTTTACGCTTGCTGTGTGCCCTGGGAGGTCAGACCCCGGACAGCAAAGAGCGTGGATGCTGGCTCTTTCATGGGGCAAATTACTAATTCTCTCTGAAAAAAATAGGGATAATAGAGATAAAACAGGGATTATATCACCTGCTTTACATGCTGTGGATTAAATAGGGCAATACATAGAGAAAGTCCTTTGTAAATTGGGCTGTTCACATGATCATTATTCATGTGATTTTCCAGAGAGATGTACACAGTGCTGGGGAAGAAAAATGGTGATGATGATGATAAAAATAGGTACAATTTCTTGAGTATCCACTGCATATCAGGTGCCGGGGCAGACCCCGGAGTAGGACGGAGTGTGAGGGGCGCTTAGTTCCGAGCCCTGGAAGGGGAACCCGGCTGGTGTGGGGGGAGGAAGGAGACACACCCATTGCCAAATGCATCCAGACTTTCTTGAACACCCACTAAGGGCAAGGTCTTGTATTAGGACAGAGAACATTCCAGATGGAGGCAGCAACAAGATGTGGCAACTGCCCATCGCCTTGTCTGGCTAAGGGATAAGTGCCTCTTTTTACTTTTTGTTGAGCGGTTTCCACTCTTGTTGACGGCTGCCTGGGCCAGGCAGGCTGGGTGGGAGGGGAGAGCTCATGAGTCGGCTCCTCTAGGAAAGTTGGTGAGGTGGGGCAGGGCCTCCCCTTGGACTCCACTGGCAGACCCTAGCGTGTAGTAGGTGCTCCAGAAATGGGGTCCTCACGTCCCTCATGAGTGAAGCTTGGCATTTTCACCCTTGGCCTCACCAGCTCTCCATGGGGAAGCAGAGCTTGGTGGACAGTTGGCTTCCCTTGGACGTGGGGGCCGTGGGAGCTGCTTTGTGGCTGTGTCACAGGATGGGGGCAGGAAAACTCTGCCAAACAGAACCTCTCCCCAGAAACCCTCAAGGGAGGACTCATGCTGCCTGCCTTTGTGTACTTGCTCCTTGTGACCTTCTGAAGGGCTGGGAGGGGCGAGGGGCAAATGTGAGCCAAAGTTGTACCAGTTCGTGTGTTTAGAGTTTGTGCCAGATAGGAGTCAGCTGTCCCCTTCGAGGTCCCAGGGAGTGATGGGAGTTGATTGACAGCCACATCTGCTAGGATGCTGGAGGGCAGCACTTCTCCAACTCTCGAGTGCATGTGTGTCACCTTCTTAAAGTGCTGACTCTGATTCCTTGGGGGCCAGGCCTGAGATTTTTGCATTTCTAACAAGCTCCTGGATGATGCTGATGCTGCTGGCCTTGGACACGCTTGGTCCAAGGAAGGAAGGCAGCCCTGGGTGCCCCACCCACATCTACTCAGATCCCTATGGCGTGCTGACCTGCCGGCCTGCCACCTTGTGACTGCAGCTCTGCCTGGGCTTTCTCTTGCCCACAAACCAGCTCAGCCAGGACCTAGGAAGTGCCAGTGACTGTGGGAGAGGTGGTCAAATGCCCAAAGGCCCTCATCTGCATCAGGGTAGCTGAGGCCTGTTCTGCACTGTCCTAGGGTCCCCAGTTGCCCAGCAGTAGCCTATTCTGGAGCACACTCATCACAGCCTGTCTTCCTGAGATGACCCCCCCCCAAAATCAACTTCCTGCCTCACGTCCTTGTCTCAGGGTCTGCTCCTGGAGAACCACTACAGAGGTGGTCACTTGCAATCCACTCTGACCCTTGAAGCAAGAGGGGAGTTCATTGGAAGCCTATCAGGAGGCCCGGGACCACCCTCAGAAGCCAGAGGAGACTGGGGGAGGTCCAGACTGGCCAGGTGCGGGAGATACAGGAACCAGGAGAGTCTGACCCAGGGCTGCCCACTCCCCTGCTCCTGAGGCCGCCACTGCTGGCCTCACCCATATCCACCCTCCCTCTGTTTTCATGCCATTTGATCCAGATTCAAAGCCACTTGGCTCTGCCTCTGTCACCAGTCCGTGCCTCCATCTCCAGAGGGTGGAGAGAAGGAGGACCTGGACACTTTGATACCCATAGTACAGGGTGGGCCGGGCCCTCCAGCAGGATGACCCACAACAGGAGAGTTCCCTTTAATTAGGAAGCAGGGTGGGAAAGGAGGCTGCAGATGAAAATGCTGAGCAGTGACTGGCTCCCCAAAAGACAAGTCCCCTGGGCAGTCTGCTGGGCGTGGTGTGCTCAGAGCTTCCTCCTTGCCCTCCTGGAGGAGGCAGTGGGCAGAGCCCTCACCTGGAAGCACGTGGATGGGCACCTCCCCCTGGAAGTTTCTTTAGGGCCATTAGCATTTGAAGAGCCATCCTGCCCATTCCCTAAACAGCAGTTTTACTTTCAGTTGTTCTCTGGTGCCAGGGAACTTCCTATCCTGGACTTGAATTGAGGAGCTGTACATCCTAACTGAGAAGCAGCCAGAAAATCACCCCTGGCACGAACGGGGTCTAAATCCTCCTCCCGTTACACTGTTCCTGCCTTCCTCTCTCCTCTCTCCAAGGGAGGCCGGGGCTGATAGGCCTTGCCAGGCCTGCCTGCCGGGATCGGGGAACAAACTAGGCCCAGCAGGAGGAGGTGCTGGGGAAGACGGGGCCCTGAGGTCATCCACTGACTAGGAAACGTGAAGTGTGGCCTTTGGGGAAAGGACTGGGGCTTGAAGTTAGCTGGTCAGGGCAGAGACCGAGGAGGTCACTGAGCTGTCTTCCTGTCAGGACGCCGGCTCCTGACCTTTCCTGTGTTTTAGGCAAGGCCCTTTCCAGGGCAGGGGAAGGAGGGCCATCCCGTTTTCTGGGTTAGTTTCCACTGCGGAGCTGATTTGGCGGGTTGCAGCCATCTCTTCTGGGCAGGCCACACAGGTCGGTGGCCAGCAGGAGCTGGCGTGCCGTGGATGAGGAGCCCAGCCCAGGTCCTGTCCACTCTGCCTGCTGGTGGGGGTGTCAGATGGTACAACGCCCGTGTAGACCGCAGGAGCTGGGGGTGGGCCCGGTTGCTTGAAGGTGGTGGGGACCCAGTAACAACACAGATCTCAAGGGCTGGGCCTCACTCCTGGAAATGGGTGTCGGTGTGCGGTGGCCACACTGCTTTTGCACCTGCTGCTGCGATACCTCTAGGCATTGGTTTTCCAGACGCGGCCAGAGCCCCCCGCATCCCCATCCTGTGGGGACCTTGTGTAGCAGGCCGACTCTCGATCTGCATCCTAGAATCGCAGAGGGTAGGATCCAGAAACTGACATTTGTAACGAGCGCCTACCCAGGTGCTTCTTTGGTGAAAGGTTCGGAAATCCTTGTTGTAGGTCTTCTGAGGCACGTGCCGGTGGCAGGTATCCTTTCCTCTCTCGGCCAGCTGCCTCAGCCCTCCCTGGGGGATTCACAGCAGTATGAAATCACACGTCTCCTTTCCCCAACACGAGGAGGGCGTGTGCTTCTGTCACCCCCTCCCTTTTAGAGACAGAAAGACTCGGAAGCTGAAGGTTGCTTGGGATGGATTTCAGGAGGACACTGAATCCGGAGAGGCAGGACCAGGCCCGGGGCAACTGAGATGGGCCATTGTTGTAGACACTTGTTTTAGGAATGTCCAGCCACCTGCCCTGAGGCTGGCCACGGGGCAGCTGTAAAAGGCGATCTGGGTGTGGCCGGGAAGGACTCAGCCAGTGCTGAAATCCCAAAGTCAGTGCTAATATCCCTGGTGATGCTGAACAACTCCTGAGACCTCCTCCCTTTTCTCCCCAACAGGTGTGCGCCTTGACCGAGTGCGTGGAGGCCGCCAGAAATACAAGCGACGGCTGGACTCAGAGAACAGCCCATACCTGAGCTTACAGATCTCCCCACCTGCTAAAAAGCCATGTGAGTGCCAGGGCAGTCCATGCCCCTGTCGCGAGCCCCTGTTGCCGGCACCTGTACTGGAACGGCTCGCACCCCTTGGGGAAATGCCATCTTCCCAGTGCTGGGTTTTGGGACAGTGTGGATCCTGGGGAGGTGGCATCAGTGCCTGGCATTGCGGTTGGGTACTTCAGAATGCTATCTTTCCATGTGGAACACCCCAGTATGTGGTTCTAAATGAAGCATGGTCCTAAGAGGGCCTGGGCCCCAGCACCCGGAACACGCCCCTCTAGCCACCCACTCAAAGCAGGTTCCTCTTGGGAGAATTCACCAGGGAGGGGAGATGACAGTTAGGTTCGACCTTCCTGGGTTCCTCTGTACCTGACTTTGCTTCCTGACCCAGCCCAGGCTGTGCCCCGACTCTGCCCCAGCCCCTCCCTCTTTCCAGGCATTTACTTTCCCACTTTGGTCTTCGCAGTGACCAAGATCGTCTCCTACCTGCTGGTGGCTGAGCCGGACAAGCTGTACGCCATGCCTCCCGCCGGCATGCCTGAGGGCGACATCAAGTCCCTGGCCACTCTCTGTGACCTGGCGGACAGAGAGCTCGTGGTCATCATCGGCTGGGCCAAGCACATCCCAGGTGAGTCGCACAGGCCCAGGGAGAAAATGTAGCCAGGGACTCCCAGCCGCTATCCCCGCAGCCGGCTGTGGTTCTGACACAGGGGACCCTGGGGCTCAGGGACCCTGTAAAATCTCGGCAAGCCCGTCGCCCTCTGGTTTCCTTTTCTCTCCTTGTGGGGTTGGAGGTGAGCAGGTGTTCGGAAGGTCCGGTAATGTTCCTCAACCGCCGGGGCCTTCGGAACTGGTTGTCATTCTAAGGGGTTGTGACTGCATCCGCAATAGGTGATATTCGAACAGCATGTTCTTTGAATTCGTGAAGACTAAGAAGTAGAGTTTTTCACGTGGATCTTATTGGAAATACACCGGAAAGCAGCAGAGAAGGTGGATCAGGGCCTCTACCTCCCTATTAGAGGCAGGTGGAGTGGAACAGTCCAGAACAGGGCTTGGGAATCAGATTGGAATTCAACTCACGACTGCTAGCTGTGTTCTGGGCCTGCAACTTGCTGGCTGTGTGACCCTGGGCCGGCCCACCCACTTCTGGTGGGCCGTGCCGCACGGAGAGGATGAGACGCGGGCATGCGCGTGAGCAGTAGGCATGTGCTGGCATCTGCGGCGTGCTCACTGTTGCCATGTGCCTGATCTCTAGGGGAGGCCTGTCTCCTTACATGGATTCTGTGGTTTTACGATGGCTTCTGGCACCCAAAGTGAACATGGCCATAGTGAACGTGGTTCAGGTGATAGGACTTTTCTTCATTGCGTGCGGCCCCCAACTCTCTTTTATCTTCTCCTGGATAAATGCCGCGGGATCCAATTTTTTATTTTGTTTTTGTAGACACTGATACCCACATATTTTATATAGCATAACTGTCGGAGACCTTTCTGAAGTCTCTGCTGTTTATTCCTGTGAGGTTCTAACAAACGTGGCTCGTAGTGAGGTGCAGACATCCTGTAATCCTCTGGCAGTGATTGACCGTGGACTTGGATTCTTACTAGCTATGTGGCATGGGGCACTTCATCTTCTTGTCTGTAGATCATTTTCTGGTTTGTGTGTGTGTCTGTCATGAGCTCTGAGTGATGAGCAGAGCATACGTGGTTACATAGCGAAGGTGTCCTAGACTCAAGTGCTGAGACCCACGGTGAGGAGAAAGCCCTCGGGTAGGACATGTGCACAGCTTACAGGGAGGAGCCTTCCCGCCGACAGGCTTGTAGAGGGAGCCCACATGGTCAGGGGCGGTGTCCGAGTGGCTTGGCTGGTGGAGTGTCTAGAATTCCCACACTGGGGAACTCCTGGTGGTCCCAAGGCACGACGTCAACACAGGGCTGGGATCCCAAGGCTCTGGGCTGCAGAGCCCTTACTAAGGAGCTCAGCCTCTTGGGATTACACACTCAGTAGTTTTTGAATCTGTCCTCTGCTGGTTCAGCACAGATGTGGGGTCAGGCCACTGCTTAAGACACCTCAGCCTGGATTGCTCCACTAACCCAGGGCCAAATCAGGCACAGCTCCCTGAGCCCCGCCCCTCATCACACACTCCCTTCAGAGTTGGCAGATACCGTATCCAAGCAATGGCTCAGGACTGGCTCCTGGTGGTCTCCCCAGGTCACTGCTTTCCCCTTCTGCCACCCCACCCCTGCCACACCTCCAAGAGGATAGGGTAGACCCAGAAGGCACTGTCTCCCCTGCCACCCATCCCCTGTCCCTTCCTGACTTCCCAGCTCCAACCCAGAGGGCACCGGGCAGAGCAGAATGGCTCCCGGGGACACAGGCCCTGGATTCGGGCAGCCCTGGGTTCTGATCCCAGCTGCCCTTCCTCGTATTGCACGACATTCATTTCTCTGAGCTTCAGTGTCCTCTCTTGTGAAATGACACTCAGAATAGAGCCCCCTCGCCGGAGCTCAGGGAGGAGGTGGCACACTTAGCCCAGGCCCCGCCTGTGGCAGGGATTGTGTGACCATTGTCACTGTTACTGACAGTGGTAAATGCCTCCTTTCACATCACCATTTCTCTCTGTCCCAAGCCAAATTCTTTTCTATTAAAAAATAAAGTAAACATAGAAGCTTACTTGTCTGCCTCAGACACTAATTTGCCTATTTTGCATAAAGGTGCATGCTGAATTATTTGGGCCTGACCTTCTAGTGTTTAAGGTAAAATTAATTAATAGAGTCTCCTGCCACTGCCCGTAAACCTCCTGTTAAGGGCGATGACACATCAAGGGCCTGATATATTTAAACTAATTGACTTAGTCCATCCCATCTTAGACTAGATGGGAAACTCACCTGCGGGCCTGCTCACCAACCCTTAGAAAGAAGAGAGCGGGCTGAGCAGGAAGGATGCACGTCTGGGTCCCACCCTGGGACTTGGGCTGGTTCCTGTCTGTCCTGGTTCCTGGACAGACAGAAGGACTGGCTCCTTATAACTGCTCAGGAATAGAGCTTTGAAGGGAGCCCAGGCCTCTGTCCTTCAGCAAAGGAAACCATATCTCAGGCCTCAGTATCCTCTAACCTCCAGTCTAGAGCCTGGCAGAGGGGGCTTCATAGTTGCCTCTGCATGCATTTATTGAGCATTAACTGTATGTAAGATCTCCTGTGGCTGATACAAAGAATTAGATTGATTTCTCTCCCAAGGATCCCATTTAGGAATAAGATGGATAATTTTAAAAAAAAAACTTGGTCATAGAAAATTTTGAACAAAGGTAGGTCAGCGAGTATAACGTACCTGTGTGTATCCATCACCCCAAGTCAACAGGTGATAACTGTTTCAGCTCTTCCCACCATGTCCCTCCTGTCTCCCATCCATGAGACAGACACTTAGCGCACAGCGAGAGGAACCCTGGGACAGTTTGAAGGCAGGCACAATGCCATGGGCTGCCAGGGGAGAGCGCAGAACCTGAGCTGGGCCTTCGGGGTTGAAGGGCAGAGGCCATGGGGGGAAGTCCAGAAGGGCGGCAGACGCTGTGAACACACTTTCACATACACAGAAGCTGGAGTATTCGTGTGGGCACCCAGCAGCCCACTCAGCCAGAGGAAGGGCCATTTCAGTACAAACTCACTCCCTGTTCTCTGCTCCCTTTTACCACAGTGCTGAACATATGGGGTGAGCCCTGTGGGGAACTGGGACTGACCGGGGTTTGCTCAGAATAACAGCCACTCTGTCGTTTCTGTCCGTCGGAAGTCCCGCTCGCCCAGTCGTTGATTTCCCAAGTGTTGAGCCATCCAGAGAACAAACCCAGGTCTTTAGATCATCCACCTCTTGCTTCTGGCGAGTGAGAGCTTAGACCAGGAGCCCTCAGCCTTAGGTAGACAGTGGGTGCCTCCCACTGAATTGCAGCCTCCAGATGTCATCAGCCCGTCATCCTCAGCCCAGGCGGCCTCCAGGCTGCCCCAGCCAGGGGCTCCTTCTCCTGCCGGCCCACGGGGAGTGGCCGGCGCCCCTGCCTGCTCCAGCCAACAGGTGCGTGGCGTCTGTGGGGCACCCCCAGAGGCCTCCCCACGCAGGCAGGGGCCCTCAGCGGCCCCGCTCCCAGGTAGCCGCTGGCTGGCTCACACAGGGGAGAGGATGCCAGCGGCCGATGAATTATGGGCTGCCGAGTGACAGCAGCTGTGTCTGGAGTGGCCTCAGATCCTATAATTACATCTCCCTTTATTACCTCTGCTAATGGCCCTCCAGGTCGACAGAAACGATAATAAATTAACAGATTATGAACTCCACTTGCCACAAATTATGTGCTCTTTTTTTTTTTTTTAACTCTAGGAGCTTGTGCTGTCAAATCGCTGGGGGAGGGGGAGCTGGGGAAGAGCTTGAATGGTGTTAGATCAGTCGGTGCAGGTAAAGCAACTTCCTGGGGGCAGCAGCGCTCAGGGTGGGGACCGGGGGAGAGAGGCCCGGGGCAGCCAGCTTCCGCAGCACCCGGAGGGGCTGCCGCCATGGGGGCTCAGCCAGCCCCGGGGACAGGGACAGCGCTGCACTCCGGGGGCACGGGCCACACCCAGCCTGTCCCGGCATCCTGCTCAGTCCCAGAGTTGCTAATTACTTGATGGAGGAGGAGAAGACCCCAGCACAGAAAACAAGTGGAGGTGCTTTGTGAAGGGCAGGGAGGAATGGCTCAGCCCCTGTGTTTGGTTTCAGTAAGAGAAGGAACTCGAGCTTCCAGTAAAGTCGTCCGATGTGGCAGAGGGTAGAAGTTACGAGTTCCAAACCTCTCGTGTTGCTCGTGCATCCTTCTGGGAGTGTCCTGGACACACACACCACGGTGTGCACACGTGTGTGCGTCCCCATCCCCTCCGGGGATTGCGCTCTGACACTGCTGTACACCCTGCGTCTTTCAATAAATTATACCCAACAGTAGCACTCACCACGTGCGGAGCAGTGTTCTGAGAATTCCGCACCTCAGCCCATCTAATTCAAACGGCCCCATGAGGCCAGTACTGTTCCTATTCCTCGTTTACTGGTGAAGAAACTGAGGCACCGAGAGCTGGGCGGCCAGTGGCGGGCAGGGCTGGGGCTCCAACAGGCAGCGGGCTCTGGCCTCTGTGGCTTCGCACCTGCCCCGCCCCTGTGCTCTGAGCATCTTCCGCATCCACACTCATTGCACCTCATTCTTTCCAAAGGCCTCTACTGTGCCATTCATTTAATAACAATCACATTGGTAGAACAGTGGCATGCATTGCGTTCTTTACATTTTGTTTGTTTCCTGCTTTGGGCCATTTCGAATGGATCCAGCACACACCTTTGCCCATTTATCTTTTCGTATGTAAGCATACTTTTCTCTCTAGGAGAAACTCTCAGCTGTGGAATTGCTAGATTCCAGGGAGCATAACTTCCATTTTGGGCCTGATTTGATTTTAGCTTTGGACACCTTAAACACAGACAGGTTCACAAGCCAAAAACAGACAAAAATATATACACATGGAAGTCTCGTCTCCCTCCCTATCCCCTCCCCCTTCTTCCTCCTAGAGGTAACGGTTTTCAGTTCTCATTTTTCCTCCTAGTGCTTCTCGTGTCAAACAGTAGAAAAGGTCAGACATTTCCTGCCTCCTCGCTCCAATGGGAGCTGCCTATGAGCGCTGTCCAGTACTTGGCAGTGGGCATTTGGATTTTCAAAGCTATTTCCAGCTCCCCTGGAAGATGGTCTAGGAGGAAGAGAGAAGGCAGGGGCTGGATCCGGTACTCAGACCAGCCTGGCAGGGAGGCCTGGACACAGACCTCAGGGGCATATCCCCTAGTGGTAGTACAAAGCTCTCCGAGCAGCGGTCTCCCCCCTCTCCCCCCCCCCCGCTTGCCCTGCCCCTGCCCCCAAAGGGCAGGCCTGTCTCTGACCCAAAGGCAGCTAAATCCACAGTCTTATCTAAAGGACAAGGGGGGACTAACCAAGTTCTTTTGACACATTTTCTCATCACCTAGGAGTCAAGGCCCGGTGGCATTTGTCCGTTCTCTCCTCTGTGACCTGAATGTTTGTGGGGCACCTCCTTTGCACCAGGGTGGGGACTCGGCAGCAGGGGCAGCAGTGGGGCGGGAAGAGGGCAGGGAGCTCAGCCGCAGAGGCTCCTTCTCTGTGAAGCCTCCCCGGACTCTCCTTCTGGCCACGCCCCCACTGTGCCCTCTCGGAGCTCCGCCTTCCTCCTGTCGTAACTTCACGGCGACACGTGGTGCCTGGTGTGCCTTTCCCTCTTGCCTGTGAGCTCTCGAAGGCAGGCCTGTTCTGGTTTGAGCTCACCACCTGTCCCCAGTATCTTGCCAAGGGCCTGGCACTGAGTAGGTGCTCAGTAAATGGTTGTTGAATGAATGAAGGGGCCAAAGCACACTATTCACCCTCTTCCAGGGACTGCGCCTGCATGGTTAGCCTCACAGCGCCTTTTCTCCTCTGTTTGCAGAAGCCTGGATCTTACCTCACCCCCCCTCTCTGCCACTCCAATTCAACTGTCTACTAATTTCCCCCATCCACCCCCGCCATCTTTCCCCTCATTCCGGCTGCTCTCAGACCGCCGCCCTCCCATGGTGCTGTCCCACACTCCCCTACACACACACACACACAGACCCTCCTCATGGGCTGGCTGATTGGTATCTGTTAATTAATGTCGCCCAAGGCTTCTCGTGCTCAGAAGCCTGATAAGGGAAATTGGCTGTCCATTTCTATCTATCTTTTATTACCTCCTGGCTCTCCCCACAACCACAGGCAGCCACACGCGGTCCCCCATTCTGGGATCTGGACAGCGTGCGTGCACCTGGCCCTCTGAGCTCCGGCCTGTCCCCTGAGAGGGTGCATCAGCCAGGCTTACCCCCGTTGTCCGTGTCATCGATCTAACTCTTTCATCCGTCCCCACCAGATGCCAGCATCCAGGTATCTCTCCAAGGCCCGGGCTGTGCAAATCGGGCCTGGGGACAGCAGTGATTGGACAAACAGGGAAAGAGTGCCCTGCCAAGGAAAGGGGGCTCCAGCCCCAGGAGTGGGCCCTGCAGATGGACCCTCACCTACCAGTTGGAAGACAGGGAGGGACAGCGGTTTTTAGAGACAAAGGACAGTAGACAAGGGTGGGATAGAGTCTGTCTCCATGGAAGCCCAAAGCAGTAGGCCAGTCCAAAGGGGAGGAGAGAGCCGTACCAATAATATGCTAACCACGCCAGTAATAGTAGCGACCACTGCAACCACCACCACCACCACCGTCTGGCTCGGCTTTGCTGAGCAGCCCCTGCAAGCAGGGATCAGCGCTCAGTGCTTCCGCTCATCCTCATCTGTGTCCTCACCCCGCCCGCTGCACCTGGTGGGGTTAGAGTCTCAGTCGGCAATGAGTGACGGGTCCTACGTAAGCAAAACAGCTTTTCTTTATTTCAGGAAGTCCCTGAATCTCCATTGCCGTGACACAAGGTGCACATGGCTTTGCGGATACTTCTCCTTCTTTCACTATATCCGGCACGGTCAGTGCTGGAACCAAGCACTGAAGTCACCACCTGTGTTTAGTGACCAGCCCTTTGAAAAGTGTTTTCTCTCTCTCTCCCCCTCCCTCCCTCCTTTCTTCCTATCTCCCTCTTTCTGTTTATCAAGATGTTAATTGACTTTGCACAGAATGCAGCTCCAATATATCACTCTCGTTTTGCAGATGTAGGCTCTCATCTCATCCCTAACAATAACAGTAAAAGCTCCATAACTGGGTGGCATGTTCTATCCCCACTGGTGCCTTTAGACCTCACAGCGATGCTCTGAAGCCACTGTAATGATGGCCACGGTCACAGCCATTTCATAGACGAGGAAGCTAAGGTTTGAAGAACCTGTGCGGCTTTCCCAAGGTCGGCCCACAGCCCATACAAGGGCAGTCAGGATGCAAGCTCGGCCACCTTTAGAACGCACTGGACAAGACAGTGTCAGGATTCTGAGGCCATCCCTACACCCAGCCTTCTTTCACTCCTGGAGTCGGCCTCCTTGCCCGAAGAGAGGGGGCGTCCCGTGAGTCCCGGCTCACAGAATGCAGGACTGCTGGGTCATCGTTAAATGGAGAGTAATGGCCCGGGCAGCAGGGGTCTGACCCCAGGGAGGACAGGCTGCCCGGTGACAAAGTGCCCCCTGACCCTGGGGTCTCCTGACCACTTTGTAGCCCCAGGCTGTGGCCACAGGAGGTCACTGGCCAGGAACAGCTGAGTCCTCGTTCCTGGTTGGGCCCCTGGGTCTCTGCACAGCTGAGACTCTGCACCCAGGATCAAGCATCACTCTAAAACACCAGAACCTCCCCTGGCTTTTAAGGGGGGAGCCTGGAAACTCCCCATACTGGAGGGGACCTGGACTGCCCCCTCCTAATTCTACTATGAATTCAATGACTCCTTAAATTACGAATGCATTAAACTAATCACAAAGCCTCGCCAGACTTTCAAAAAATACCAGAGAACAGTGATAATGATAATAACAAGTCAAACAGCTTCTCCAGAACTTTGAAAAGCACCAGAGAACTAACAGTAATAATGGTGATAACAAGCGTCCACATTGACTGAGCTTTCATTAGGTCAGTCTTTCCCATGAAATCCACATCCGACTCATTCTCCAAGGGAGGGACAATGAGTCCCGAAGGTGCGGGGGGCACAGGCAGGGTCTGGAGGTGCCTGGACACCCCCATACTCATCCTGCCCTCCAGCTGGCCCCAGGAGGAGCCCTGGCCCACCATGTGGCCCTGGCTGCCCTCCTCGCCCCTCTTCCCACAGGCTTCTCCAGCCTCTCTCTAGGGGACCAGATGAGCCTGCTGCAGAGCGCGTGGATGGAGATCCTCATCCTGGGCATCGTGTACCGCTCCCTGCCCTATGACGACAAGCTGGTGTACGCGGAGGACTACATCATGGACGAGGAGCACTCCCGCCTCACGGGGCTTCTGGAGCTCTACCGGGCCATCCTGCAGCTGGTGCGCAGGTACAAGAAGCTCAAGGTGGAGAAGGAGGAGTTTGTGACGCTCAAGGCCCTGGCCCTGGCCAACTCAGGTAATAGGGGCCTGGGACCTGTGTGTCTGGGGAGGTGAGGGGGGCTTTGAGACATCTACTCAGCCTATCAGTGGGACGGTGTGAAGATACCGGAGCTTCTTGTCACCAAAGATTGTACAAGACGGGGCCTGGGGTTATAAGGACGGTGATGAAGGTCAGCTTGGGGTGAGCATTTCCTAAGCCCCTAGTTGCAGGGTGCCCTGCTGGGCCCTTGATCCCCAGGCCGGCACACTGGTTAAGGACCCAAATTTCAGAGCTGGTTCCTGAGAGTCAAATCCTTTTTCTTTCACTCGGGCAGGTGGCTTCACTCTGTGCCTCAGTTTCTTCATCAGTTAAATGGGGACAATAAGCAGTTCCCTACCCCACAAGACTATGGAAGGTGTTTGTTTGTATAGAATTATATTGCGCTGACAACATTCCTGGCCCATAATAAGTACTCAACCTGTTAAATAAATTTAGCTGTGAAGTTATTTCATGCTCACAGCTATGCTAGGAGCAAAGTTCTTACCATTTTAAACCCATGTTACAGATGTGGAAACTGAGGCTTAGAAAGATGAAGCGAGTTGTCCAGGGCCACACAGACTGAGGAGTGAAACCAAGGTTGCGTGATTCCAAAATTACCCTGGGTTTATGCCTGTTCCTTGAATCTCACAACCAAATTGCACAGGCCCAAGACAGAATACCTTCCTCACTGAGTTGCTTAGGGTCTGGCATTCAGAAGGAGGCCTTGCTCCATTTCTTTAACTCCCAGCAGCTTCTGGGAGAGGGGCTGACATAGGGGAATGAGCCTAAATCTAATCTAATCTGTGTCTGCACTTGGTGTCCGCCATATGCAGGGTTCCCTGCTGGGACGCACTAGGAAGAGACAGGCACGGTTCTTGTCCCAAAGACAGTGTCAGCGTGCGCACACACACACCCACACAGGTTCTGCTGCAAGACGGCACATTGACCTAACTGTTCAAGTCTGAGTCAGATCGACTCAAGTTCAAATTCTAGCTCTGATCCATGGTAGCAGTGTGACCTTGGACAATGCAACCATGTTCCATAGCTCTGTCCTTGTATGTGACATGGGGCTATCCCAGTACCTCCTCTGAGCGCTTTTGTACCAAATGATCAACTGAAGACAAAGCGCTTAGCCAGTGCCTGGCTGAGAGGAAATGTTCCATAAATATTTGTTATTATCATTATTATTAGTATTGGAGGAAACAAAGTGTTACCAGCACGCGGAAGAGGGGGGGCTGGCTCCCAGGTGGAGGCTGTACAAATGGAGCAGCCAGCTAGTGTGCTTGATACTGCTGCACTTTTCCTGAAAGTCCCATATCCCAGGAAACCTTGGTCCCTGGCTCACCGAGTCGGTTGGTCCCTCTAACAAAGGGCTTCATAGAGCACACAGAGGTGCTGCTGGTGCCCATCAGATCCCCTTTCCTGGGTCAGTGCTCCTGAGCCCCAGCTGCTGACTTTTGCAGCTGAGAGCTCACAGTTGCCCCCTACACCAGAGACCCCATCACTTGCCTGGCCAGGAGGTTACCTGCCCCACCCACCCCCTGGCACCTTTGGCCCATGGTGGACCTGCACAGGGGAGCAAAGGGCAGAATTCCTGGCAGGGAGGGGTCAGCTGGAAGGCAAGGCTGCATCCTTACTTTGCAGGCTCCCACCCTTGCCCGGTCCTGTCCCCCTCTCTTCTGTTCTCCTGAAAGCATGCCCTCTACAAACCCCATGGCCAAACCCCTGTCTCAGTTCCTGCTTCTGGGGAAGCATTTAGTAATGAACTACTGCAAAATAATAACTAACATGTTGCACACTTCCATAGAGATGACGTATTTATACCCTGAGATGCCCACAATGCAATGCGCGTTTTGTTGGAGAACGCCCGTGCTGTTGGGGCTTTTAGTGCAGTTTGAGATGGACGGAGTGAGCAGGCGGCACCTAGAGCTCCACGCACCGCTCCACCCCCGTGCAGCCTCCCCTGTGCAGCCTCTCCTGTGAGGACCGTCTTGCATCCGTGTGGTAATTTGCTGCGATGAATGAGCCAATATTGATACGTTATTATTAACAACAGTCCATAGTTGCCATCAGGGCTTTTACTCTGTGCGGCGTACGCCTCTAGAGGTTTTGGCAGATGTGTGACGACAGTGCTCCATCGTGACACACCACACGGAGCAGCTGCACGACCCTCACAATCCCCTCTGCTCGCCTCTTCAGAGGACAGCACCTGAAGCGGCATTGCAGAGGGGCCGGCAGTTTGGAGGGACGTGACAGGAAGGGGGACCCAGTGAAAGCTGAGGACCCCGGGTGGCCAGGTGAGACAGCAAGACTGGCAGCCTCGGGGGGCCCGTGCTCGATTCTGGGTTCCCCGACCTCTTCACACCAGACCCTGAGCTCAAGCTCACCCCGCTGGGAGCAGAGAGTGAAGGAAGGGAAGCCACTCCACTGTCACCTTCATCCCCCCTCAGCGCTGTTCAGAAGGCTCTTCAGCCAGGCCAGCTGCCCTTGCCTTGGTCTCAGCACATACGGACACATACAGACGTATAGACAAGCATGAACACACACAGATACTCACACATGCACACGTGTACTAATATACACATACACTCACGGATAGGCACCACGTCACCTGGAGACCGATGGTGGCTTGGTGACGTGAGCCTATCAGGGCCTTCCTCTAGCACCAAGCTTGGCCTAAAAAACATGCTTGGTTGTGTGAGATAAGTTCTAGGAGTCTGGACTTTTGCCCTGGTGGCCTCTTCCAAGCCATCCTGCCTCTCACCTGCAGGTTCAAGTAGCTCAGGGCAGAGGAGTTTGTGATGCTCGAGGCCTGGGCTGCACAGTGGAACAGCCGGCGGCAGGCAGAAGCGGGGAAAGGACAGGCCTGTTTGGGGTTAGGCTAGAACAGCAGTGTGGGGTCCTAGAGGCTCCCGGGCTGGGAAGGGATTGTAATGGGGCCAGCATAGGAAACCATGGAAGATAGGGCAGGGGCCCCTGTCCCCAGCAGTAAGGTAGAAAAGTCACCCAGGCAGACAGAGCGTGTTAGGAGCCCAGGATCATTGCCGTGGGTCTGGTGGCTGCCCCAGTGAGTACCACCGCTGAGGCTGAGAGGACGGGCCGGGCCCACTCAGATGCGGTTCAGGGGGCTAACAATCACATCTGAGATGGGCTGCGGCCCCACAGCCTGCCCCCCAGGGAGTCTGCCGGCCGACTTTCACCCCTGTGCCTCTCCAAGGCTCCCTGACAGCAGAAAAAAAATCATAGCCATTGATTTTGTAATTAACAGTTTATCAATGCCATCGATACAGACGCACGCTGATGGATTGCAAAGAAATTAATCTTGCAATGTTATTTTATTTCATTTTTGGTCGAAAGCAGCTGCCAATTTCAGCCTCCTTGGGGAGGGTGGGGGGCTGGGGAGAAGAAGCTGGCAGGAGGCAGGGAGTCTGGGTGGCCAGGCACCTTACAGGCACATCTTACATTCACACTCTGTGAACAGTTTGGAGAGTAGGAATGGAGCCAGGCCTCCCTGCAACTGGCAAAGAAGGAGTTCTTGCTACCTCGGCAACCAGGAGCCGAATCGCAGGGAGGGGTCCTGAGTTGGGGAGAGTAACATCCCAGCCCTGCAAGGGTTCTCACCCCCCAGTGGGAGTCCTCTCAACATGGGAATGATAATGCTCATTAGGTGCCTGCTTCCTGCCTGTGCTCTTTCATTCAACCCTCACCTCCACTCTGAGCTGCGCACTCCCACGTGCTCCATTTCGAAGACCGAGAGCCCAGGTAACGTGGCCAAAGGCACTCAGCAGCTGAGACTCCAGAGTCTCATCTGCCTCGTCCTACTGCTGTCCTCCCAAGAGAAAGGGGCAGGGCTCTTGAAGGCACAAGCAGAGAGTGGACCCAGGAGGTCAGGGATGGTCATTGGTGCAGCTGCCCTTGGCGGTCTGGTATCTAAACCAACCCAACTTCTCTGCTCTTTTGAGTGATTTGGGACACTTGCCCAGTCTTCCTTGGAGACCCACTCAGAGCTTCAAGCTGACTTGACTCACATGTGTCCGCCCCCGACCTTTGGCAGGCACTGGACACTGCAGTCCAGGTGGCACTTTGGGGAATGGTCATCCTCCCCGAGGCCAGGGAATGGGTTCCAGGAGATTCCCTTTGCTTCAGCTCAGACCCAACTGTAACCCAGCTGTCGGCACCTCCTGCCCTGCGAAGATTTTGGTAAATTGCGTTTAAACCCCTAATCCATGGTCTGAGTCCAAAGATCTCCCCAGGATTTTAGATCACAAGGGTCCCTGCCAAGAGCTACCTTCATCACTGTATCCAGCCGTGTGTCCATGTGTCCAGCCATGCTGTCTCAGTACCCCCCTGTGTTCCCCACCATGGGGCACCCAGACACATAGCCTCCCTCTGGATCTGTGTCTGTATTCTCTAGCCAGCATTTTGTGGGGCTAGCGATTGCAGTGAAGGCCTGAGCCGGTGCCTGGCAGCAGCAGCAATAGTAGTGATGATGGTGATGGTGGTGGTGATGGTGGTGATGGTGGTGGTGATGGTGGTGGTGGTAATGGTTGTAATGGTGGTGGTGGTGGTGGTAGTGGTGATGGTGATGATGGTGGTGGTGATGTGGTGATGGAGATGATGGTGGCGGTAGTGGCAGTAGTGGTAATGATGATGGTGGTAGTGGTATTGATGGTGGTGGTGGTAATGATGGTGATGGAGATGGTAGTGGTGATGATGATGGTAGTGGTGGTGGTGATACTGATGATGCTAGTTATGGTGGTGATACCACTGGGCATTTACTTTGTACTGTTTTAAGCCCTTGATCTGTATTAATTCATTTAAACTCTTGAGATAGGTATGGCTATTATCTCATTTCACAAAAGATGGAGATGGGGCACAGGGAAGTTAAATAACTTGCCTAATAGCAAGTGAGAGATGCAGGATGCCACCCCCACCAGTCTGGCTCCAGAGCCCATGCAGTACCTGCAGGGCACTTACAGGTCTGCTCATGTTCAAACCCTTCAGGGTTTCCACTTCTGTCTCTTGGCAGTTTCTCAAGAAATGTCCTCCATAGATAGAGATCTCTCACTCCCTGGGTCTAACCCCCCAGCTCTGCCATTGGCCTCTGTGACCTCAGACTGGCAGCCCGAGCTCTCTGAGCCTTGGTTTCTCTCTCTCTAAAGTGGGGACTTGGACAGCTCCGAAGCAGAGCCAAGGACCCTGGCGGCCCCCAGCCCCATGGCACTGCTCTCCACCCAGGGCCCCTGATGCTCACCCTTGTGCCCGCAGATTCCATGTACATCGAAGACCTGGAGGCAGTCCAGAAGCTGCAGGACCTGCTGCACGAGGCGCTGCAGGACTACGAGCTGAGCCAGCGCCATGCAGAGCCACGGAGGACGGGCCAGCTGCTGCTGACGCTGCCCCTGCTGAGGCAGACGGCCGCCAAGGCTGTGCAGCACTTCTACAGCATCAAACTGCAGGGAAAGGTGCCCATGCACAAACTCTTCCTGGAGATGCTGGAGGCCAAGGTCTGACGGCCTAGGACACAGACAGACTCCCACCTGTGGACAGACAAATGGATGGCCCAATGCAGAGACCTCCACAGCCACCAGCCTCGCCCTTCCAGCCCTGTGTCATGGCCATGGGCAGCCTCAGAAGAAGGGGCTTCTTGCCTCCAGGCTGTGTGCAGAGTCCTGGGTGCTGTGAGGCAGGGGAACGGGGATGGGGGGCGGGGCGTGGGGCTCATCTGAAACTGGCTTTTTCTTTGGTATGTTTTTCCTTCCCCATGGGCAGTGCTGATGCCTGGACCAGAGCTGACTTCCCTGAGACTGGAGACCACTGAGGAAGGGCCCCCTCTCCCCACCAGACCACCAAGAGGCAGCTCGAATAGTTCCCGGCCCTACCCCCACCAACCTCCCCCACCCCTGGCCTGGCTAGGGCCCAGAACTCAGGCACACTCAGGTTGGGTACCACCTGGCAGTGTTCCTTCGCAGAGGGCAGGTGCTCCCTCCCAGAAGCCCCGCCTACTCTGTGGTTCCCGTGGTCCCTCAAGAGGCCCTGTGCCTTCGACAGTCCCGCCGGCCCCACCTTCCACACTTTGCCTCAGCTCCGCACACACCCAGCTCCTGGGGGGCTCACCATCAGGAGAGTAGCTGCAAGAGCTCGCACATTTTCATGGGCACCCCAGCGCTCAGTGCCCCCCATCTGCCTGTCCTCCTCTTCCTCTTCACCCCCAAGAGACCCCCTGCTACTTCCTGCCCCTCCCTCAGAGCTCACTCAGACTGTGCTTCTGCCAGCCGCTGTGGCCAGGGGCTGTAGCTAGAGTAGTGCTCGCCCACAGAGGAGCTCCCCGACGCCCCCCTTTCCCCGTGTTCTCCCCTCCTTCTGCCAGCCTTCGGGTCAGGTCCAGAGCATGTGGTCTGTGCGAAGTGGAGGATCTGGAGGGCCCTGGCCCCGTCTGGGGCACCTGGGCACTAGGATTCCAGGCTGGGAGGATCTGGGCAGAGTGAGGGGAGGCCCAAACCAATCTCTGCTGAGCACAGAAAAGCCCAGAAGCAGATGAGCAGACAGGGGAAGCCTGAAGACGGGGAGCTCAGTGGAGGCCGCCGGCCTCTCTGACCCTTCCTGCTTCCACGAGCAGCGGACACCTGGACAACCCTCCCTGCATGGTTCGCACAGGTGGCCTAGGGCAACTTAGAGGCTCTCCCAAGAATGGAAGATGCCCTTCCCAGCAGCCAATTTCTAGAGCAAGCATCAGAGCCACCCCACCTGGGACATTTTTCGCCTGGGATATATGCACACCCTTTCTAACCCAACCTCCCATCACCTGGAGAGGTAGGCAGATCCCCACCACCCTCACCAGGACACCAGGGGGCCAGGGGCCCTCTTCCACAGCCTCCTGGGCTTTCCAAGGCTGGTAGCTGTTGCTGGCTCCGCCTCCCTGTCTCTCCAGACAGACACCAGCAGCTGCAGAGTGGCTGGCTGATGTCCTCACATAGGAAATAGCAAGGGTCCCAGTGATGTGTGCCCCCTCCCCTTTGGCTCTGGGGAAGCCAAGGCCACAGTCACTTGATAGTGACTGAAATAGCATTGGAATTATGATCGATCCAGGATGCTCCATCCCTAGCTCTGTGTGGGTCCCCATTATCCTTGGTCTGGGAGGGCACCTCCTCAGCATCAAGGAACTGGGACAAAGCCCAAATCCAACCTAACCGTGAGTGGTTGAGCCCAGGGTCTGAACCGGAGAACTCTCGGTGAGAGAACCCGAGGCCTGCCTCTCCCCGGGCTGCCTGCTGCAGGTGGTGGGGAGGGGGTGGCGTCTCATACCTGGGCGCCCCGCTCGGTGCAGTGTCACTTTCTGCTGAAGCATGAGGACCACGTGGCAGGGCTTGTGTCCGCTGGCATTTGCAGTCCATCTTTTCCAAGAAAAGCCTCTCTGGCTGCCGGTGAGACGCTGGCCTGGAGCGGGCAGGTGTTCTGTACACCAGGCAGCTGTGCCTTGCTGCACCCGGCGTCAGGGTCCCTTTCTAGCAGCAGGCACGGAGGGGGAGGGCCTGAGAGCTTGGTGCCAATAAGGTGGATGCTGCTGATGCTTCGACTCTTAAAAAGGCTCCTAGAGCAACAGGAAGTGTATCTGTAACAACGGGAATGGCACTCGGTGGGAGAGGTCTGAGCCCGTGTGGGAGCCACAGATGGTCGGAGAGCCTGTGTAGGGGCCAACGCCTTGGAAGCCTCTCCAGCTGCGGGGCCTCCCTGGGAGGAGGGTGGCCCTGGCTCAGTGTGGGGGATGGTGAAGTAAGGAGAGGTTAGGATACCCCATCCCCCCTAAAAAACAGGAGAGAACTCAAGTTTTACCCTCAAATCTGCTGTTCCTGGAAAATCTGTAAAGCGGAAATAGCCCTTCTCAGTTGTATTCTCATGATACAGGTTACTGAAATGAACCAAGAAATAAAGTACAAATACGACCGTGGAGAAGGTGGTTGTGGCTGGGTTTTGTTTGGTCCCCATGTCCCCACCCTTGCTAAAGCTTCCAGACTGGTTTTGCCACACTTGAACCTTGAAAAGAGGCGCCCAGGTTTTGTGCACAGGAAACCTCGGCTGCCTCCCAGGGCACAAGGGAAGAGCCCAGTAGGAGGCTCTCAAAACCAGAGTGGGGTGCGGGGTGGGTGGCCATGACGAGGGCTTAGAGGAGCAGGAATCTGCATGCACCCGAGTGTCGGGGGCCACCCTCCCCTCCAGCCGCTCCCCTCCCCGTGCAGATGGAAGAAGTGCCAGGGCAGGGGGCAGGGGCAGCCTGGGGGAGGGGTGGCCCACCTATAGCAGGAAGACAGGGGGCCCTGCCCACGGAACAGCACCAAAGAAAAGCACTATGTGGAAAGATTGTTTTATTTTCTAATAATGGTAATGTGGCTGGAATGGCTTCTTAAATGTATATATTTTTAAAAATGGCAGCCCCTCATTGCATCACCCACCTGTACGGATTTCTTCCTCTGTTTGTGTCTCCCAGAGACCTCCATGTAAACGTACCACCCGAGGATTCTCTGGTCCTGCTCCCGTGTATCTGGAATCTAATAAATAAGAAACGGCCTGTCGGAGAATTTCTTCACACATTCTCTCTCAGGCTGGCTGCCCCCTGGTCTCAGGCCCACGCTGGGAGAGGCCGTGGGGGGAGCCAGCCCGGCCCCAGTTCCCTGGGCATTCAAGCGCGCTCAGCAGCAACACTCAGAAATGCAAATGGAGAAGTAGGATCCTGGTCTGAGAAACCCAGTCCTGCCTTTTGTACTTGGAACAGTAGTGGTGAGGCACTCTGTTCTCTTCATTACTGTCATGGACGTGGAACATCAAATGTATGGGAACCTAAAGCACTTCATTAGCCATTCCAACTCCAGTGTCTGGCGGCCGGAAGCCTGCCTTCTTTTTTTACCAGAGATGCGGGGACTGGTCTGTAGAGGACTTTTTCCTACTGACTTTTTCCAGGAAATTGGTCTCACTTCTGCAGACACCCCTCCCTTACCGGCCCAAATGCCCAGTCCATCTGTGCAAAGATCCCTTCGGCAGCTGTCACAAGGCAAAGCTAAGGCCCTGGGGTTCTCACTTGGGCACTGAAGAGTCTCTCCCACCTCCCCTATGGAGAAGAGGGACAGCCAGAGCCTCCCATCCCCTCCTCCCACTGACAGACATGACAATCCCCTGCGATCAAGCTTGGAACGAGGCTAAGACAGGGGCCAACATGAAGGAGGGGCCAGCCTGCCCCTGTTCACAAGGCCCCTCATTAAATACATGCCCCCGAGAAAGCCCTGATTTCACATTCAATGCCCAGACACTCACTTCCAAAGAAATAACAGTCCAGCAAAGCACAGAAGGACTAAAAGTGACCCAAGCCCTCGCCCTGCACATTGTCGATATCACCAGCAGGGTGTTACATTATTAATGCACAGCCGGGCTTCATCAGAAACCTCTTGCTTCCTCCCTCTCTCCCACATAGCAGCAGCTCTTGAAAACCTCTCTCTCAGCACCTCCGCACCGCCCCCAACTCTCCCCAATGCAGCCTCCATGGGCACCCCTTCTCGGCCCTCCTCACCAGGATCCAGCTCGTTGTTACCCAGATCAGCTCAGCCTCTCAGCCTCTTTCCATTTTTCTGCACAAGCTGAAGAGCCAGAAGCCGATCCTGTGAACCAAGTCTCTTTAGCGAAGGCTGTGGCATGGGGGTGGTGGACGAACCCTCACCACCCCGTGTATGTATTTCATGTTGCCTCTGTCCCAAATTCACTTTGCCCCCAAAGAACAGACACCACCTGGAACCCCAGACAGCTGCCCCTTCCCTTGCCTGAGGCTTCGTCGTGCAGAAGGACTGTGGTTTCACAGAGCCAGGACATGCCCTTCCAGGAGTTCACCTCCAGCCTCGGCTGGCTGTGGCTTTAACTCTCATTTCAGCAAACACCCAGAAAGGCAAATCTGATCCAGGGTGTGCTCTGTCTCCTTAGCCCTTGCTTTTCCGACTGAACCCAGTCATTCGGGCCCACTCTTTACTCTCTCATTCCTCACCTGGCACGTGGCTAGATTTGGGGGCATGGCGGGCACTCCCAGCTGAGCAGAAAAGATAGACATCAAACTGGCAATTTATGAGCACATCTTAAATAGACTTTCAGAGGCATCTGGGGGTGTGCAACAAAGGCACCAATCTGGCCTTCAGGTGGGGCAGGGCTGTGCGAGAAAACCACCCTGTGGATGCAGGTGGAGGCTGAGACCCGTGGCGGGGGAGGGAAGGGCTGTGGGGAACAGAGAGAGGGAGAGACCAGGAGGCCGGTGTGCTCCAGGCTTGCTCAAGAAACTAGAAAAGGACTGCTGATTGGTTGGTTGGTGACAAAGGGGAGGAGGAGGCTGGAAAGCAGAGGGGCCCAATGGCACAGGGCTTGGTCCGCTTGATGAGGACATTGCTCTCAATCCCAGAACATGTGGGAAGCCCTGGCAGAGTTTGAAGCAGGGGAGGGATGCGGTCAGATCTGTCTCTCCCACCTGGGGACGGTGGGTCAAGCTTTCTGTCCTCCATGGATCTGCTACTAGGGAGCGGCATGAGCCATGGATTCAGACTGGCCAAGGCTCAGAAACCCCTGCTCGGCCCTCACAGGGCCAGGCTCCTCCTTCCCCACCGTCACCAGGCCACCAACCAGGCCATGAAAAGATGCTAACAGGTTATAACAGGGGGCTGCCAGCTACGCCCTAGACATTTCACACACTGTCCCATTCATTCCTCACACTGAGTGTTTGATGTAAACGCTACTGCCTTTGCTTCATGGAAGGCTAAAGCTCAGAAAGGTTAATCAACTTGCTTAAGGTCACAGAGCCCAGGTTGGAGTTCACATCTATAGGCGTCCAATTCCAGTCTTTTAACTGCCGTGCCATGTTTCAGATTGGCCATCCAAAGGCCCAGACACATAGTAGGCACTCAACAAAGTTTAGTCCTTTCTGCACCCACCTCCCACTGCACAGAACCACACAGCCTCACGGGAGCCACCCCCAGCCACAGATGTCTGCTCCCGCCCTGCCAGGCCAACTTGTGGCCCATCCAGCTGGACAGGGGGAGAAGAAGGGAGTGTGAACAAACGCCGCAGTGTCCCACTGTTGACGTGCGTCTCGGGAGGGGTGCCGCTGTGCCAGTTTGGTGGCTAAGCAACTTGAACCAAAGTCATGCCCCTTGTCAGTTACTGAGCTGGGACGATGCTACTGGCCCTCAGGCCACATTAGTGGGAGCAAAATTCCAGGAACTGCCACCTTTACCGCTTCCTGCTTATCTTTGCAGAAAATAAATCATCCTAACATTATGGGTCGATGTTATGGTGACATTTTTATCACATTCCTAAGGTCCCTGGTGGGGAAGTCTTAGACTCATTAAGAGGAAATTCTCCACTGTATATTATCAGAGGTCAGAGGTCAGAAGAAATCCTATGTCCCCTGACAAAGCATGGAGGATCTAAGGGGTATCCTGGGCTCATGTATTGGGAGGGGGAGGGGACAGGTATATCCAAAGCAGGCATTTTGGGTCCCTCCAACCACGTCTCTTAGGTGGCTGATTTTGGTTAACCTCCTCTCCTAGCCACAGGTCTCCTGACGGGTGCTCATGGGGAGGGGCACCCATGTCAGGCACAGAAGGCCTGCCTGGCCCTGGTCAAACCTGGAGTGACTACCATGGAGGCAGGGTGGGGTGGGGAGTGAGCAGGAGGCCAGCTGAGAAGAGGGATCTGGGACAGATGTGGTGGGAAGTGCCAAAAAGAAAGAGGATTCGACTCAGAGGAAACGTTCTGTGAGGAGAAAAAGCTCCCCCAGCTTCCTCTGGAAATTGCTTTGTTTAAAATGCAAAGTGCAGATGTGTTTAGATGACATCTCAGCATCCATCACCCTATGCAAATGCCGACCCAGGGGAAGAGCAGCCCCTGTAAGTCACTCGGATCTCCCTGATCCAGTGTGTGTGGTGATGGCAGGCCAAGGGACCGGGCAGGGGTGGTGATAGCTCACCACCCAGGAGAGGGACCTGACAGGGCAGGCGGGGGGAGCCCGGCCCTGGGGTTGGGTTGTTGGGTCCACATTCGTGCCAGTGGCAGGGATGAGCTCAGCCACCGGCACCACCACCTTCCCAGGGCTGCGCTCGGATGGGGCTGTGGGGTAGTAAGGGCTGCAGCAGACCACTGAAGGTCAGAGCTCTAGCTAAACAGGAGCCTGCTGCCGTCTGGCTCAGGGACAGTGAATTAAATCCTTCTGGGGAGCAGTAGAATGTCCCTTGCCCAAACGCTGCCCCAGGGAAACTTGCGGAATTGAATGCCTGGTTGGGGTGGGCTGGGGCTCTTCAACTCAAGCCCTCCAACAGATACTTCAGTCAATCACCAAACCATAGCCCTCCACCTGGTGTCCCAGACTGGGCCAGGATACCTTTTGTCAGTGACAAAAATGTAACGTCCTGGTAGGATTTCTTGATAAAATCCAAGATGCCCAGCTAAATTTGAATGTCAGATAAACAAGGAATAATGTTGAGTGTAAGTGTGTCCCAAATACTGCTTGGGGTTATTCCTTTTTTTCCCCCGACATTCAAACTTAACTGGGTGTCCTTATTTTCATTTGGTAAACCTGGCGGCCCAGACAGTCCATACTTTTTCTGCTCACAGCCAGTCACTGCACTGGGGATGAGCCCGCCTCTGCCTTCCTCTCAGTTTTACCCACCCCACCTCCATCCCAGCTCCGCCTCTGGGCCACACGTGGAGATTTTGCTGCCCTCCCTTTATTTTTCCCAGGTCACTCCCTACCTCCCACCACAGCAAACCTCTTGCACCGAGAACTCCACCTCAGTCTGCGATCCTCCACCCTGGGCATGACGGCCCAGCCTGGCTGTTCGCTGCACTGCAGACGCACGTTCTTCCTCACTCATTCCTGTACTCAGCAGGTGCGTGTCGAGCTCCTGCTGTGTGTCTGACAGGACAGGTGTGGTCCCTGATCCCCTGGGGCTTACACACTAGTTGGGTTAGACAGATTTTTAAAAAAAGAAGCAGCTAATAAAATAATTGCAAATGTGAGGAGTAAAGAAGCTGAGATGGGGACTCATGAGATGTGGACGGAACCTACTTCAGCAGGGATTGCTGGGGAGAGCCACCCTGAAGAAGTGACATGTAAGCCATGGTCTAAAAGATGGGAAAATGCTAACCGTGCAAATAGAGGAACCAGCATATGCAAAGGTCCTGGGGTGAGGCTGACTCTCAGCAGGGGCCTTAATGCTAGAAAGCTCTTTATTTCTCAGGAATTTTATATTTTAATGTATGCCCTTCTTTTACCCTTGGTGGAGATTCCAAATTCCAGTATTCTTGAGGTCCCAAGCCAGTTCCAGCCTGCAGCAGGTGACTTTGCCTCCTCATTCTCTAGAAAGATGGAGCCAGCACAGCTTCCTTTTATCACCAAGTTTCCCTGCATAGGTGCTGAGTCCTGTTTTCCTTTCCACTGTTCTTGAAATTAGAGACATTCTGACTTCCCTCCACGGCCAGACTTCCCCATCTTGACTGCCCCGCCAGCCCCCTTTAGGCCTTTGCTTCAGCAACTATTTCCT